TACTTTAGAGAAATTAAGAGAAAATGCAGTCTTTCGTATTTACTCATACAGAATCTATTTCTGACGTTCTTCATTCATTCCTGAAAATCTCAGTTTCTCTCTGATATCATTTCTCTTCAGCCTGAAGACTTTTTATGTAGCATTTTGTGTAGTGTAGCAACGTACGGACAAATTCACTTAGTTTTTCTTGATCTGAAAGTGAGCTCTTTCTTTCACCTTCATTACTGAATCATAGAGCGTTCAGGGATGAGTTTCTTTCTCTTAGTGCTGTCTTCTGACTTCTGTGGTTCTTGATGAGACATCTGTGGTAATTCAAATTATTGTTCCCCTATATATATATATAACAAGATTGCTTTCAAGATTTTTTTATGTTTTTTAGTAGTTTGACTAGGATGTGCCAAGGTAGATTTCTCTTTGAATTTATTCTGTTTGGGGTTTGCTGAGATTCTTGGGATTTATTTGCAAATTTATGTCTTTCACCAAATTTGGGAAATGTTTAGCCATTATTTCTTTGACTATTTTTCCTGCTCTAGTTTCTTTATCCCTTCCTTCTATGATTCTAGTATCCCTATGTTAGGCATTAGAAATTGTCCCATAGTTCCAGGAAGCTCCATTTATTATTTCCAATCTTTGCTTTCATTTCATTCTGATCAAGTGATTTTTTAAAAAGATTTATTTTAGAGAGTGTGCCAGGGGAGGGGCAGAGGGAGAGAGAGTCTTAAGCAGACTCTGAGCTGAGCATGGAGCCAAATGTGGGGCTCCATCTCACGACCCTAAGATTATGACCTGAGCCGAAACCAAGAGCTGGATACTTAACTGACTGTGCTATCCAGGTGCCGCCCTGATTGATTTCTGTTAACAGGTCTTCAAGTTCACTGACTCCTTCCTTTGTCATCTCCATTCTCTTCTTCAGTCTAGTGATTTTTTTTTTTTAATTTTATTTATTTATTTATTTGAGAGAGCGAGAATGAAAGACGGAGAGAGAGCACATGAGAGGGGGCAGGGTCAGAGGGAGAAGCAGACTCTCTGCCGAGCAAGGAGCCCGATGTGGGACTCGATCCTGGGACTCCAGGATCATGACCTGAGCCGAAGGCAGTTGCTTAACCAACTGAGCCACCCAGGCGCCCCAGTCTAGTGATTTTTTTAAATTTCAGGCAATGTATTTTTCTGTTCTAAAATTTCCATTTGGTTCTTTTTTATATTTTTCTTTGTGGATTTTTTTTTTTTTTTTTTTACTACACCAGTTAGTAGCATATTTTCTTTTACCTCATTGAGCATAGTTATAATAGCTGCTTGAAAGTCCTTGTCTGAAAATTCCAACATCCAAGTCATCTCAGGATTGGTATCTGTTGATTCTCTTTCTCCTTGGAAATAGGTCACATTTTCCTGACTCTTCACAAATTCAGTAATTTTGGATTATAATCTGGACATTGTAAAGGTTCTGTTGTGGAGACTTTGGATTGTTTTATTGATCTGAACAGTATTGAGGTTTTTGTTTCAGCTAATGAATTTGGTTAGACCCACCTCCACCGTGCCGTGCTGTTGTGGGTGATGGCTCAGATCTCAGTTCAGTTCTTGAAGCCTTGGCTGCAAACTTCTTTCATTTAGCCCAACACATGCATGGTTCCGGGGGCGGGGGGGATTCTGCCAGAGACTTGAGCGGAGTCTATATACAGAGTTTAAAGTTTCTGCCTTCTCTAACTCCCTCTTTGGCTTCCCCTTTACTCTTGGCAGTCCTGGTTATGCTGGACTCCACTATTTTTTATCTACCAGAAAGATGATCTTTCTGTTGAATTTCTAAAGTATCTGTGCTGCTGCCACGATGACTATACTGTTTTTGGGCAAAGCTGCAAACAAAAACAAACAACTGAGTCACAGAGAACCCATTCTAAGCATGTCACAGCCCGCTACAGCTTGCCTGTCCTTGTTCACTATCCAAAGACCGTAATAGATGTTTTTTTTTCCTTCTGTCCAGAGTTTATAGCTCTTCTTTGTAGGAGGATCCATTGGTTATGTGCCCCACTCCTCAATGCTATAAATGTGGCTCTCCTTGAACTAGGAAATTGCAGTGGCCTCCTTGACTAATCAAGGAGTTATATTTCCTTTTGCCCAGATTTTTATTTCCTTCCAAGACAGTTTCCACCTGGAAGCCCAGTGACTGAAATAAAAATCTAGTGTTGACTCTGGGCTTATAGGGTTGGGTATAAAGTCCTTGTAAAGGCAGATGTAGCCCTTCATAACTAACTCTTGCTACCTGTACACTGCAGCAAGGTGCTTGTTCTCAACCTGGTATGTTCCACAATCCTGGAATACTCATCCCTTTCTCTTACTCTCTTTCCCTTGCATAACTCCAGCAAACCTTCATGGAGTTCACTCATTTTTCCCTGTCTTAAGTTCCGCGTCCCCTCTGAGTTCTCCCTTAATATTCTATGGGTCCCTCTGGCATGGGATTTATGACTTTGTTATTTTCTGCTTGGTTGTCTATACCCCCACAAGACCAAACTCAGGGGTCGCAAATCATGCCCCAATCTTTAACCACTACCTAGCTCCCTTCACCTAACTTTACACACTACCTGATACATAGTTTTTGATACTTTTTTTTTTGCATTGAAATTTAAGAGTACAGGTTTTTCATTTCAGCTTTCAGTGGGTATCTGCTGTGCACACATAGAATTCCTCTGAAATAGGACAAAGGATTTGTGGCTCCTTGTCCACCATTCACTGTATTCATTGTATCAGTAGGGCATATTTACTAACCTTGTCTTTCTTTCATGCCCCCTAACTATAGGTAGTTAGCTCAGAATTATGTGAAATCCTCATTATTAAACTACACTGAGAAGAGACAAGGCAGTGGGATTTCTGGAGCTTGTTAATGGGCAAGCCTCTTCTGTCCCTGTCTTTCCTAATGAATGCGAGAATCCAACTATTGCTGGGGAAGCTGTGTGTATGTGTGTGCCCTTGTGTGCGCAAATGTTGTACCTCAGGTAGTAAGCCAGCAACATTCTCCCATCCTGAGCATTAGGTGATAGATTTGGAGCCCATCCATCTGCCATGGCTCATCAGCTGCTGGGAAATGTGGAATGCATTCTCTCCCTATCCACCATTTCCCATTTTTTCTGAAGGGATCCATAGACCTTTACAGAACATGAGTTTGTACCACAGCCGCTGCTTTGCTCCTTAGTATCACCCATTCAGAGCACGAGCTACTGAGCTGTACCCCACATTCTTTTGAAACAAATGAGTTTCTTTTTCAAAGAACTTTTCAACTTTCATGTGTTAATCTAATGTCTTAGAGGAGTGATTTAGCTTCAGGTCCAACTTAAAAGACAAATGCTTTAATTTTTTTCTAATCATGCAAATTACATGCTCCTTATAAAAGTATTTATACATTTATTCAATAAATATTTATCTTGCATCTCTGACATGCTATGCTCTGAGAATATAGCTAAGAAGATAGATACGGTATTGCCTCATGAAAATTTAGTCTTACAACAAATGTTGGTGAGGATGTGAAGAAAAAGGAACCCTCTTGCACTGTTGCTGGGAATGCAAACTGGTGCAGCCACAGTGGAAAACAATATGGAGGGTCCTCAAAAAATTAAAAATAGAACTAGCACTACTAGGGTAATCTAGTAATCACACTACTGGGTGTTTACCCAAAGAATACAAAAATACTAATTTTTAAACTTTTAACTAATGGGATACATGCACCCCTATGTTTATAGTAGCATTATTTACAATAGCCAGATTAGGGAAGCAGTCCAAGTGTCCACTGATAGATGAATAGATAAAGAAGAGGTGGTATATATTTATACAATGGAATATTATTCAGCCATAAAGAATGAAATCTTGCCATTTGCAACGACATGGATGGAGCTAGAGAGTATAATTGTAAGCGAAATAAGTCAGAGAAAGACAAATGCCATACGCTTTCACTCATATGTGGAATTTAAGAAACAACACAAATGAACAAAGGAAAAAAAAAGAGACAAACTCTTAACTCTAGAGAACAAACTGATCATTACCAATGGGGACGTGGGTTGAGGGATGGGTGAAATAGGTGATGGGGATTAAAGAGTACACTTCTCATGATGAAAAAAAATAAACTAGTAATATACAAAAAGAAAATTTAGCATTACAGAAAAATATAGAAGAACTTCAAAAAACTCAATACCCAGAGATAACCACCGTTAACTGCTTTCTGGATTTTGGGTATGTTTGCCCTTTAGGTGTCAGGCACCATCCCTTCTGTTTTCATTCCAAGAGCCTCAACCCTCTTGCCCCTTTGTCCTTCATTTCCCCCATGGGGCAAATTTCCAATTCCTAAGCATCTAATCATCAACCTATGTAATGTTTGGCTCTGGCCTGAAAAAAAAACTACTTAGAATGCTAATTTTAATCCCAAGGAGCCTGTTCTACTTTATATGTTTGAGATTCTGAATTTTCCAAACCTATGAAATACTAATTATTAAGTTATAGAGGTATTTCCCACTAAATTAAATTAATAGACTTACTCATTTTATAGTTTAATAAGGGAGTATTAAAACATGAGCTGTACCTTATTTATAATTGCAAGAAAAGTGATAAATATCTAAATGCCATCAATAAGACTAGTTTAAATAAATAATGTACATCCACACAATGGAATGCTATGAACCCATTAAAATAGCTTGTTGACATAAAAAGAAAACTAATAAACATGGCAAGATATTCACAACAAATTGCTGAGTGAAAAAACCCCAAATTTAGCACAGAACAGAGTATTTTGTTTGTTTTCACTGATGTAAAATTGGATACATATGTATGTACATGCACAGAAAACTATCTGTAAGGAGGCAAACAATCTATTTCTTTAATTCCTACTGTGTAAGAGATGCTCACTAAAATCATTATGATAGATATCCATGTCATAGGGGAAAATTGGATAACACATATTATCACGCATGTTTGTGGGGGAACCTATTTGCTTGACTAAAAGTACTTTTTTTCCTCTTCTCTAGAATAATGAACTACAAAGCAGGTTGGACTATTTAATAGAAACCCAGGCCAAGCCTGAGGTGGAGACCAGAGAGATTGGAGTAGGCTGCGATCTTCTCCCCAGGTATTTGGAAATTTCCTATTTTTCTGACTCAAATTCCTCTCTGACTTACGAAAATACTTTATGGGGCTGTGATTACCAGAATTGCATTCTTTCTATCAAAAATATTTTTGCAAAGATAAACGGCAACTGCCGAGGGGTCTGGCTCGTTCCTGTGGGAGCGGGGGCATTGTGCAGGACAGAGGGGGTAGTGAAGAGAAGGCTGGGGAAGCAACGTCCGAGAGGGAGAGGCCCTGTCAGGAAGTGCATGCATTTGATCCCCCATCCAGTCATTCATTCACTCAGCAAACATCTGTTGAGTACCGTCCCTGTGCCAGACGCTTATGGAGAGGAATGAGATTTGGTTCCTGCTCCACGTGCAGTCTGAAGGGGAGACAGACATGGAGGCAGACATTTACAACAGTGCGAGAGGGACCTGTGAGGGGCTTTGGTAACATAAAGGAGGGAGGGTCTAAAGCTTGAACAAATTCATCTCTTCCCCGGTGCCAGGACACAGTCTAGTCAAGCACTGGCTCAGCGTCACAAATGATCTGTTTCAGTCACCACGGATGAACGGTAACCACAACCTCGTTTGTTCAGTTGCCTTTCTGAGCTCAAGGGCTGACCTGTTTGTCTTTAAGCTGCTCCCCATACCCATGCCTGGGTCTCTCCCTAATAAGATTAGAGTCTGTGATCTAGTAACCAACCCACCATCTCTAGGTGCTCGAAACTGTGCTCGGCTCAAAGAGGACATAAAACAAGGTGATAATGAGGATGCCAACGGCATGTAGCTTGTGATTTAGGTAACCAAAGTCACAAAGTACCTCATATACTGTGTGTAGGAGGGTGAATTCCTGTGTGATCAGGGGCATCTGTGTGTGTTGTGTTTGGTATTAGGCCAGAAAAATGCAGAATCCTAGAACCTTGAATGGTTAAATCTGGTGGGAAATGGTGGTGAGTCCATCACCAAGCTGGGATGTCAAATACCTTGGGTCTAGTCCTCCTTGCTAGCAGCAGGATGCATTCAGGTCGGACTGTCTTTGCTGGGGCCTCCGTTTCCCAATTTGTAAAGTCAGTGGTTTTGAGTAGATGATTTCTCAGGTTTAACCAGCTTAAGCAGGGAAAAAGATACATAAATAGACTTGAGGTACCATCAATATGGGGGACGAAGTGCATGATAAAAATATAGGCAAAAAGAATGGTCATGTCCAGGGACTCTCTGAAATATAAATAGTTCCGCCATTTCTCTCCTTTTTTATTCTTCAGGAACCAAGTGGTTTAGTCCACTTTAATTGCCCACATAATAAATCTTGTTTGGCTTAAGACGGGCACAAAACTATGTCTGAAACCAATAAATTGTTTGTTTTCTAATTCCCACATTTTGGCTTAAATCAAGGTTTTCAATTTGTATGCCGAAGGATAGCCTGAAGCAAACTTTTATGGCTAAGTTATGAAACCACAAAGCGGTTTTCATAATGGAAGTGCTGACAGACCCTTAACTTATGGCCATGGTGAACTTGGAAGCCACTTCAGCATCTAAAAGCAGCTTTTCCATAAATGTAGCATTTGGTTTCCCCCAGGATCCATCTTAGCGCTTTCACTGCGTAGGTCAGTCAGCAGAGGAAATGAAAGCTACATATCCGAGTTTCCGAAAAGGCAGGGTAAGATTCCATTCGTTTCCTCTCTGATATTTATTAAGTGCCTACTACGTGAAAGGGGCCACGCGGGTTGGAGTGGCAAGGAGCACGGGGTCGTTAGATTTCAGAGCAGTAGTTTCTCACCTGTGCTTCTCTGAGCTGCCTCGCTGGGCTCTGTGCTGGGGCTCAGGGAGAGGCCTCTGGATGCCTCGGGGGGCATGAGGTGAGCAAGGAGCTGGCCTGCGGGGACCCTCCCCCTCCTGAAAAACAAAACGACACAAAACTGAAAAACTCAGTTTTTAGTGTAAGATGTTGGACCCCAAGTAAGATTTTGTTTGAATAAAGAAACTGGAACCCCCTGGTGGAATTTAATCCCCCTGTTTTGATAGAGAGCAAAATCCGTGGCTCAGAGAGGTAAGTGATTCACTGAAAGCCCCACAGCCAGGATTAGAACCTGGGGTGGTACTTGTGTCATTTTAAAATACTCAATAGAGTTGCTAAATTGTATTGTGTATGTTCTAACAAAATTCCTCGTTCTTACTTGGACTTTGAACTTGCACCTAATCAAGATCTTATGGTGTTTTCCAGAATATTTTGAAAATGGCCTCCTCTGAAATGTTTTAGATGAATAGAAGTATTGCCTTAAGCCTTAATTCTGCAGATGAGTTTTGTTCTCACTACCTGTTCTCTTACAAAGAACCAGGCAGTGTGGTCCAGTTGGGGAGCTTCAGGCCGTGGGACTTTGCTGCCCAGCCAGCTGCCAGCTGAGCACAGCCTTGGGCAAGCTACTTAATCGCTCTGAAGCCTCCATTATTTCATCCTTAAAATGGGAATGAAGAGGACAATATCAAATCTCACAGGGTTTCTATGAGGATTAAATGAAAACATGTATATACAGTATTTAGCATGGTAACTGGTTAAGTACTTAATAAAGAATAGCTATTACTATTAACTAAACCAAAGCCCTGATTTTTCATGTAAGACACCAGATCAAATATAAGTGAATTTGGGCGTGCTAAGACAATTTCAGTAACTTATTAGTGATTTTGTTCAACGGATTGATAGTGCTTCAGTATGCATTAAGCTCTCCAATTAAACTCTCTGTGGTTTGGAGCCCTCTAGACAGTGCATAAAACTCTGGAAGGCCCCGTGGTGGATGAGGCCCCTGTCAGCTGAGATGCCAGAGGGGTCACGGCGTATTCCGGGTGCTTGCGCACGCAGCCTCACAGGAGAGGAGTGAGCTACCTCGGACTCATTTCTCCCTCTACCTGGAGGGCTTTCATGCTGTGCTAACAGCGTTTGACTTACAATTATTGCTGCTTGATTTTTATGCTGGAAAAATTTGAAATCAGCCTTTTCTTTACTTACCAGTAAACCCCTTTTGTGACCTCCTCCCCACATCACCACCACTTCCCTATTTGTGCCAACTCTGTGGACTCCAGTGGACAGGGACCCTGGGTTCTCATTCCCTAGCTTAGCACTTTCTTGATGCTCCATAAACATGTGTTGGCTGATCTGCCTCTCGCTGTATCTACAGCTTTGGGCAAATCCCTAATCTCTTTGAGTCTCAGTTTCTCAGCTAGAATTGGAAGATTCTGACAGTAATTCCCTGGGGGCCCTGCTGGGCTGGTGAAGTAGGATACAGGCAAAAAGTGCCCAGCGGAGTGGGTGCATTTTCCTATTTCCGTTGATGCTGCCACGACTTTCCCGGGTCCGGCCCTGAGGTCAGTTCACTGAGGACACCTGTGCCCCAGGACAGCCTCAGTGCCCGTACAGGGCTGTCCCCCTTTAGTCCCACTGCCACCAGGCTGCTGGAGACCTGGGTTCTCTAGGTCTAGTCGACTGAATACCACCTTTTGTCTCTAGTTTCTCAACTCCTTCCTCTCTTCATCTAACCCTTGCATTCCATTCTTTTCAAGAGAGCAAGGATCTTACAGCAGAGAGAGCAAGGAGGGAGGGAGGGGGTGAGAAGGCACTCACTGTGATTTCAGAGACTTTTAAACACCTATTTTTTAAAAAAGACTCAAGAGTTTGATTTAAAGGTTTGATACAGGTTAATGAAAGCCACTGAGAGCAATTTCCAGTCTGCTAGCCTGCCTTCAAAGAGAAAGATGAAAAACAAGAAACAAAAAGAAAAGAAACTTTTTCTCCTTGCCCCTTAGTGACACTTGGTTTCCAGCAAGCTCATAAATTATGTCTTAATAGGTGTGATGTAATGAAAAATATTCCCCATGGTCATAAGTGCCAGGCACATAGTAAGCGCTTTAAAATGCCAACATTTTCATACTTCTTCTGTTTTAGAGACCAGAACACAAAGTAGCTTTTTGTCAAAGCTTTATTTGCTGACTCTGCTGCTGTTTCCCCCAGGGGACCTGCCCCTTTATGGAATACGGGACGCCTGGGTGGCTCAGTTGGTTAAGCAACTGCCTTCGGCTCAGGTCATGATCCTGGAGTCCCGGGATCGAGTCCCGCATCGGGCTCCCTGCTCGGCGGGGAGTCTGCTTCTCCCTCTGACCCTCCCCCCTCTCATGTTCTCTCTTTCTCTCAAATAAATAAATAAAATCATCTTTAAAAAAAAAATGGAATAATAAAAGGTTACCAATAGCCTCAAAGAAAATGGTTGAATTTCAGTTCTGTGGTTGAAATTATTTGTGTTCCTGAGATCCTGTTGTTTCCTAGTGATCAACCACATAAAATACCTCACTTCTTTTTGAAAGGTTGGGATATCGGAGCCTGGTTTTTTTTTTTTTTTTTTAAGATTTTATTTATTTATTCATGAGAGACAGAGAGAGAGAGAGAGAGAGGCAGAGGGAGAAGCAGGCTCCCAAGGAGCAGGGAGCCCAATGCGGGACTCGATCCCAGGACCCTGGGATCATGACCTGAGCCGAAGGCAGACGCTTAACCATCTGAGCCACCCAGGCGTCCCGGAGCCTGTTTTTGAAACCCGGAAAGCTCACCTTTATAAATATTTCTGCATTTTATGAGCTTTTAGGATATTATCACCAGAGACCATTTCCTCTACGTGGAATTTTCAGTGGTTGGCAAAATCACCATCTGGCTTCTGCCCCGGCACTCCACTAACCTGCCTGGTCAGGTCCCTGGGGACCCCTGAATTCCCAGATCTTGTGGATTCCTCTGTGGCAGGTGACACTCTGACCATTCACTCCTGGAAATCCCTTGTCCTCTGGTTTCCTTCCTCATCCATACATTTAGTGATAGTTCTATGCCCAGCCTGAGTGAGCTGCTAGTCATGAAGAGGAGTGTGGCTTTCAGCCTTCAGGAAATTGTGACTAGCAGACAATGTGTAGACCAGAGGGGACAACGGGGTGCTTCTAGTGGTGTGTCAGAAGCCTAGGGGTGCCTGGGTGGCTCAGTTGGTTAAGTGTCTGCCTTCGGATTATGATCCCAGGGTCCTGGGATAGGTCCCCATCCATCCGGCTCCCTGTTCAGTGGGGAGTCTGCTTCTCCCTCTCCCTCTGCCTCGCCCCCAGCTCATGCTCTGTCTCGCTCTCTCACGCGCTCACTCTCAAAGAAATAAATAAATAAAATCTTTTAAAAAAAACAAAAAGCCTGTATGACAGCCTTTCTCAAGGTGTATGTGGGGAGGATAGTTTGGAGAGCACGGAAAAGACATACTGAATCTCTTGGGGAGACAGGTGAAATTTAAAATTTCCCCCAAGTTTCTAATACACCCCATTAAGAAGCTATACGCCAACCACAGTTGACAATCAATCACTGCAGGGTAGTGGGAAGTGTTAACTGCTGGGAGAGTTTAGCAAAAGCGGACCTTGTGGAAGCAGAAAATTGAGCACCACTACTCAAGGGAACAGACAAAAAGCACAAAAAGAAAGGAATGCTCATTTCTATCACTGGGGTGGGGAATCTGGGAAATTGTCATATAGGAGGTGATATTTGGTTTGAGTCTTGAAATATAGGCAGGAATTCTTCAGATCCATTGGATTAGGGAAGCAGTCAAGGCAAAGGGGATGACATGAGAGTGGCAGTGTGGCAATGGTGACAACTGTGTTTCTTAGCAAGGCCAGATGGGAGATCCGACAGGAGACAGCAGAGGGCCTTTGAGACCATACACAGGAGCTTAGACTTCATCCCAGAAGCAATGGGGAGCCTTGAAGTTTTAAGAATGGTATTATACTTCGATCATCAGGAAGATCTCTTTGACAGCAAGCTGGGTAGAGGATTTGAGGAGGAGGAAGACTCTGCCAACACCGAAGGGAGGGAGACCATTTAGAATACTACTCCAGGATTCAAAGATAGATTCTGAGAGCCTGAACTAGGCCAGGGGCTGAGGGAATAGAGAAGGCACATGACAAAACAGTAGTTGAGGAGGTAGATTCCACATCGCTTTGTGAATGACAGGCTATGGGCCGTTCAGGGAAGGGAGCTGACTCCAGTCTCACACATGCAACTCGTCACTGCATTAGCGGGGAGAAGGAACGTAGCTGCTGTAACAAAAAGCCCACAGACCTCGGCTTAGCAAAATCAAGACCGATTTCTCATGCTACAGTGCAAGGCCAGTTGGCATGGGCCTCACGGCATGTAGTCATTCATGAGCCCGGATTCCTCCAGCTAGTCACCCTGCCTGGGCTTTGGAGTCCTCTTGAGCCCTCCACTGTATTCTCTGCATGAAAGGGAAGAGACTGGGCATAGAGGATTATGTAGGAGAATTTTATGGGCTAAACCTGGAAGTAATATACATCATTTCTGTCCATTTAGTCACATAGCCCATCAAATTGCAGAGGACGTTGGGAAAGGTAGTTGTGTGTCCAGGAGGAAAAAGAAATGGGAGATTTTCTCCATCTCAGCCACCAAATCCTGGTTAAATCTACCTCCCCAATATCTCCCTACCCTTTCCTTGATACTTCACCTCCAGTGTTAGTTAGAATTCCAGCTCTCATGATCTCTTACCTCCTAAATATCAAAAAAAATCTCCTAACTCACCTTCTGCCTCCAGACTAACCCCTCTGCAGTCAACCCTCAGTGGTGCCAAGGAACCCTGCTAGAATAAAGAGATGAGCATATCCTGCCCCTCCTTACAAATCTTTAGTGGCTCTGTGTCCCCTTCTAAACTCCTTAGCAGGGCACACAGGCCTGGTCTTCTGCCACTTTCCACCAAGAGCTCCCTGCTCCAGTCCTAGACCAGTCCAGACCGAACAGGTCTCCTTGCCCCCCCCCGGCCCTGTGCTCACCCTTTTTGGCCCTCACACTTGAATTCCCATCTCCTCCTTGACCACCTGAGGACCGCCTGGGCACCCTGCAAGACTCCCCTCCCTGTGCACATTTCCAGGTGCCCTCCGAAGTGCCGCTAACTCGTTCTGCCCTCAGTGTGCCCATAATATGTTAGTTCTTGTATTGCTCAGGGTCCTGACAGGACAGGAAGACTGAAGAGACCAGGATGCAGGGACTATTTATGAAGGTTTCGGCAGCTCTGAGAGAAGTGAACGAGGGACAGTGGCGTACTCTGGAGCTGGCATAGTGGGCACCGTTACCAGCCTGGGCCTGAAGAGGCAGGGGGAGGAAGCCGGGAGGACAGGCAAAGGGGAGAGCTGTAAGCTGTGGCCTTTGCTAGGGCAATGTGGCCAACTTCCAAGCCGCAGCCTGGCCAGGAGGGAACAGAGGTCCTGACCCCTCTGTCCTTGCAGTCTCTCATCCCCTGCTACCAGTTCCCAAATGCTCAGAACCCACTGGGAGCTAAAGGGTAAGGCAACCCATGGACACTGACCTTCAGGTCAGCTTCCCAAGGGCACAGAGTGAGGTGGAGACAGGAAAGAGTTAATCTGAACGGGCAAATGGAGAATATCCAGCACGGCTCATTATGTGTCTCTTATTACAGTCATTCATGCACACCCCTTTCCACCAAAATAGGAGTTCCTTAAATACATGGTTTTTTATTCTTCTGAATTATCGATGCTTGGCACAACCTTTGAAAGTTGCTAAAGGGTCGCTTGCGTGGCTCAGCCGGTTAAGCGTCTGATTCTTGATTTCAGCTCAGGTCATGATCTCAGGGTCCTGGGATCGAGCCCCACATCAGGCTCTGTGCTCAGCAGGGAGCCTGCTTAAGATTCTCTCCTCCTCTCTCTGCCCCTCCCTCCGCTCAGCTCTCTCTCAAATAAATCTTAAAAAAGTTGCTAAAAATAAAGGCCCCTCCTATAATATTTAAATGGAAAACTCAACTGACTCAGTTTATAAAATTTTAGGCTACAGCGGTGGCAAAACCATTTCCTAGAGTTGTCTTACATGAAGAATATGGTGTTTTGTTCCATCTTCCTGACCTGCCTTTTCTCATTTCTCAGCCCAACAGGTAGGACTCGTGAAATCTCGATGCCTTCCAGGAACTATACCCCATACACACGGGTCCTGGAGTTGACCATGAAGAAAACACTGACTTAGGCACCTGGAGACACACACTTTGTACAGATGGACAAAAGCCCTAGAACCATGCGGCTCGAGGTCTGGGAAGGGTGACTACTGCTTCCTCCTATACAAGTTTCAGCCAGAAAGACTGCTGAGGTTCTGATCTACTTCTAAAACATGCAGGAAAAGTGGGGGAGAGCAGGAAAGAGAGCTTTCAAGGTCATATTTCAAACACCCAACCATGCTTTACTGGGCCATCATTAGCTTTCCGAGTAGACACTGAAATTCTGTCAGGAGAATTCCCTCACAATTTATTTTCTGGTTTATTAGCCTTTGGTTGGGAGGAAAAAGGGCATTAATTTGAAATTTCATGTTATTCCCGCCAGGATCATTTGTTACAGCATGAAGGTTTTATTCACCCGTAAAAGTATTAGAGGTGGTGTTTCTCTGGTGCCCAGAAGCCTGTCCACAGGCGCAGGGGCACCTGGGGAGACCTGACCCTGCCAGGGAAGGGTGCTCTCTCTTGGTGTCCAGGATCTGTGTGGGGTTGTGGGAGCCACAGGTGGAGACTGGCCTCCTGCAGGCACAAGTGCCTCATTCCGATGTGCTAATCCCTTGGTTTAATTTGTGCCTTACGCCTTCATGGGGCTCACTGAAATCAGTGTATTTATTTCACCTGTGATTTTTCTTTTTCCCTTTCTCACTAACTGAAAGAGAATTTTGTATGTTGTGGACATGTAATCATTTAATGTTTTCAGTATCAGTTGGTGTTTTTGTTAAATGAATAATGTGTTCATGCATGCTCTACTTTGATATTATAACCTATGTCACATATGTTTAATAAATGCCATATATTTTGTTCTACCTACATTGTCTCTGGATTTCATCCATGGCCAGGTAGAAGGGGTAGAGAGCAGAATGGGGCTTGGGAGTGTCAAAGTCAGGGCCCAGGGATTTTTCGGTCAGTACAGTCCATAGAAGCATTTATAAACCATAAGATAGGGTGTGTGTGTGAGAGAGTACCAGCGTGTGTGTGTGTGTGTATGTGTGTGTGTGTTTAAACCCTGAAATTTATCTAGTTAACGCTAATACTACATAGTAATTCTATCTTCCTGAAATGAAAAACATCTTTGTATGCAAGGTTTTGTCCTAAATAAAAAAATAACATTGTATAATAACGCCTCTATCAATATTTTCATTTCAATCCTTCTTGGCTTTTTTAAAACACACACACATACTATTTATTTTGTTTTGTTTTTAAAACACATATGGCACTATATTGAAAAGCAGAATCGTGGTATTTAGGAACATGGGCTCTAGAGACTGAGCTCAGTCACTAGAGACTGAGCTCAGTCACTAGTGTATGCTTTGGGCAAGTTATAGAACCTCTTCAAGCCCCTATTAGATGGGATCTGTTATAGTTCTTTCCTAGCTGGAGTTGGTGGGAAGATTAAATGACTTAATATCCATTAAGTTCTAAAATAGTGCTTGGCACACAGTAGGCACTTAATAAGTGCTATTCTCATTACATACTTTGTAACCTCTTTTCACTTACTGTATTATGATCATTCTATACAGATATGGATATATAGATCTGTGCCACTGTTTCTTACAGTTAACTGGATTCCATATTATTGTACTATGATTTACTTGTCCTACCCACTCATGTTGGAATTTGGGAAGTTGTCTTTAATTTTCTTAAGCAGTCCTCTGATGAATCACCTTATACATACACCTTTGTACACTTGCCTAATTACTTTTTCAGGATAAATTCCTACAAGAGGAATCACTGGGTCGGGTCAAAAATCATGCAAACTTAAAGTCTTTTGGTGCATATGGTCCAGTTGGGCCTGCTGAAATTTGTGTCCATGTAAATTCTTACAACAGCATGAGAATGGGGTTTCCTGACCCCTTTGCCAACACTGGGAATGAGAAATGAAGGACTGTATAAAGTTGTCTGCTTTAGGCAGACCTGTCCCCCAAACAGGCAGTGAAAAAAATTCCTTCAGGATATTGCCTTTGGATCCCTGAGCTGAGGGACTGTGCAGGTGTGAGCTGCAGGCCTGTAGGTGTCCCCAGGGCCCAGAGAGAGCATGGCAGCAAACAGGAAACAGGCCAGGGCTTTGAGGGAGTGGGCTTTCCCCCAAGATCCCGGAATCAGAGAAGGCCTGCTTAGTCAGAGGCAAGAGCCAGCCATGGAGACAGAAAAAATTCAGGCCATGCGACTGAGTCTGAGTCTGGGTGGGACCTGCCCCAGAGGGCAGATCTCAGGGTGGGGCAAGAGGGACATTTGGGAAGTGCTTGGAGTTGAGTGATGATGACGTGCCTTCCTCCCACTAGAGGGTGCACCAACCAAGGCTGGCCCCTGAGCTGGTGGTGAGTCTACCCTGGGAACCCTCTTCCTCCCCAACAAATGCTATCTTCCTGCTCCAGGAGCTCCAGGGTGGTCCCCCAAGGGCAAGGGGTGGGGTGGGGGCATGTGACAGGAAGGGCAGGATTCCTTCCTGTCTTGGCTCAGGCCACATTAGACCACAGCACTCTTCTTGATATCCAGACTCGGAAGCCCAGTTCAGTGCAACCAAAGCATTACAGGTGCTGCCTGCCAGATGCGGGGGAGACAGGTATGTGCACCTTGAGACCCTTGCCTCTCCAAAATTGTTCCCAGAGAGTCGGTTTCCTCCCGATCTTTACTGTCTCTGAATCCCAGGGGGACTTTTTTCCGAGACTTCTCTTGTCTTCTTACATCTAGTGACTGATCATGAGGTCCATTTCCTGTCTCTCCCAAGATGTGAGCTCCTTGGGGGTCATTTCCCAAGAAGGAGGGGACTCATTCCAAACCTCGATAATCATGAAGAAATCTACAAATGGAAAGTCTTCCAGAAAGAGCCCTGGCTGGGGAAATACAGGAGACCAAGAGTTACTAAGCTAGGCCCAGCATATATCCACTAAATCTTTGCAACCACTCATTGTGTGTAGATGTTACTAGTGCCATTTTGTGGACAAGGAAACTGAAACTCAAAGAGAGATGAAAATTGTCTGAAACCACGCAGGCCTGCTTCCAGAACACAGGTGGGAAGCCTGGAGTCGGTCTCAAGTCTGCCACTAAGTCACAATACCCGTTTGGTCGGGCCACTTCAAACTCAGTGCTCCCATACGCAGTTTTGCCTAGAAATGGAATTACACCCCCTCATAGGCTGGCTGTGCAGATCACGTGAGAGAGAATGGAAAAATTTTCCAGCACTGCACCAGAGACATGCCAACAGTTGATACTTGCATTACTGTAATTACTGGGAATGAGGTGTTGCATCATGAATATTTGCAAATCTAAGGATTTCCTCTTATTGGACACAGACTAGAGACTCAATGAATATTAGTGGGACTGTGCAGGAGGGAAATAGGGAAAAAAATGTTCCTGGATAAACAGATTATTTAATAAACTGTAGTCTCCTTTTCCTCATATGTGAATTTGAGAATAACCCATTTGAATTTGTCAGAGAAGGGAAAGCCCCAAAGGGAGACTGGAGATGTGTTTCTGGGAAGAGAGGCCAGAGGCAAAAAGACCAGAGGGAGACTTGCCGCTAAATTTCGGGGTAATTTGTTGGACAGGATTAGATTATTAATACATGGTAGAGAGTATAAATTGTTTTAGCAACATTTGTTGAAAAGACTACCCATTTTCCCGATTCGCTTTGGTACCATTGTCAAAACCAATTGGCCATATTTGCATTGGTCTATTTCTGTACTCATTACTTTGTTATATTGATCTATTTGCCCATCTTATTTTAATAAGCCTTGAAATCACGTGGCATAGGCTCTCTGACTTTGTTCTTCCTTTTCAAAGTTGTTTTGGCTATTCTAGATCCCTTGTATTTCCATGAGTTTTACAGTCTGTCCATTTCTATCTAAAGGCTCTAGGACTTTGATTGGCATTGCACTGAATGAATAGATCACCAAGGAGAACACCAAGACTTCACTAAGTGGGAAGCCTGGGTGGCTCAGTCGGTTGAGGGGCCGACTCTTGGTTATGGCTCAGGTCTTGATCTCATGGGTCCTGGGATTGAGCCTCACATCGAGCACCCCAATTGGGTTCCCTGCTCAGCAGGGAGCCTGCTTCAGATTCTCTCTCCCCTTCTCCGTTGCCCCAACCCCCACTTGCATTCTCTCTCTCAAGTAAATAAATCTTAAAAAAAAAAAAAAAAAAAAAACCCCACAAAACCCAAAAAACCTCACTGCTGAGTGTCAGGCCAACTTGGAACAATATCACGGCCTAGCTGGTAGTACTAGGTCAGATCCTGAATGGTAGGGCTGCTTCTCCCTTCTTCAGTTGGGAAGGTACCAGGTAAAAATTTCCATAATGTATTTTGATAAAGGTATAGTATAATCTTTGTGGAATTCTGAACAAAATATTCTAAGAAACATTAATTTGTGCCCAAGGGCCATAAAACTCATGTAATTTGAATGCAATAAAATATAAATAAATAGCAAACAGTTCTTAGGGGTTTTCTCTTAATTTTTCAACACATACTTTCGAGTTTTAACATATAGCATTTACAGCATTCACCTTCCTGAATTAGGGGTGGGAGGGGGTTAAGAAATAATTAGTAGGCAATTTTTTGGCCCTGGAACTTTTCTTGTAAATGTTTTCTTTGGCAGCCATACTCTTGAGAACAGGAAGTTACTCTCTTGTTACAGATTTAAGACTTTTCTGAGCCAAATAACAGAAAGCTGGATTAGTTCTGAAATGAAGAGGGGAAAAAAAAACAACTCTAGGCTCTTGCTGGAGATTAATGACATCTTGCAAATATTTTAATTCTCTGCTTTCCTCTTAACTTGCCACCTCCTAAACAAAACACATTCAGCCTGAAAAAACTTAACTGGTCACTTTGTGGCCCAACCCTAAAATATCTTTATGGTACCCACGAATTTATTTAAACATTTTTGGGGGGCTGGGGAAGGAAATTAGGACTGTCTCAAGTTAACCTTTTTTGGTCCCCAAATCCCCAAAATGGAATTGAAAATAGAAAATATAGTCATAAAGATGCTGATGTTTCCATGGTGATCATAAAGATTTATCATTTTGTTTAAAATGTTTTTTTTAATAGAGAAAAATGTTATATCAAGCTGTGTAAAAAAATGTTTGAGATGCATACAAATAATTCTTTAGGAAATGTTCAAAGTAACAGAATTATAACCTTTGACTATAGCACTTATTAGTCTCACTATAAAACAAGACAACTGGTTTCCTCCCAGAAAAAGCTGAGTCTTTTTGAGTTAAAATTCACCTTTTACACTGAATTCTAGAGGAAAAAAAAAAAGAAAAACCTGTAATCTCAATGAAATTTATAATCTAGGGGGACATTAATGCTATAAATTATGAATCCTTTGTGGGGATTCTTGTTTGTTTAAAAATTTTATTTTATTTGAGAGAGAGAGTACTCAGGAGGGGCAGAGGGAGAGAATCTCCAGCAGATACTCCACTGAGTGCAGAGCCCCACGTGGTGCTTGATCCCAGGACCCTCAGATCATGATCTGAGCTGGAATCAAGAGTCGGATGCTTAACTGACTGAGCCACCCAGGCGCCCCATTTGTTGGGATTTGTAAAACATAGAAGACCTTAGGAAAACTGACATTTGGAGGTAAAGAACACTTTACTATAACAAGTATATATCTTGTACTAGTGACCCAGAAGTTTCTGTGGGATTAATTGTAGCCTCTCAGAAAAGAAAAATGTTGGGCAAAATTTTTCATTTATACTTGCATGACACACCCAAAGTCAAATGCCCTGGTGGCCCAGGGTCTGCACAGAGGTGCAAAGGTCTGGTGTAGGCTGGTTGGGGGAATGTTCACGCAGATAATAAGTA